ATGTATTACATGTATTAGTAGCTTGTGGTATAAGTTATCTATGTGGCATATATAAAATGAACTTGCCTTGTAATTTAAGACATGTATCTTCTAAGTTAGACACGTGTTGAAGTTCATATAAAATGTTATTAGTTTTTAGTTAAATAATATAAATAAAGATAAGAATAAAGCCTTCTTCACTATTGTTAATACCTTTTTAATCCTTAGTCTTATTTCAAGTCTTTTTAAATTTTTTTTCTTTGATAATAGTCATTTTAGTTTAACATTATATTATCTTTGAAAGATTATTTAGTCTTTTTATGTGACATAAGAGTGTATTGATCTTTTGATTATTTGAGATTCATGTTCTTAACAAATTGTTATATTGATTTAAAATTTTGTTTGAAGTTTTTTAACCACTAAAAATAAGTGTAGCATAAATAACAAAAGATGACTCTTCTTTTTCAATATGTATGAAAGCTCTTGCACCTATAAGTAAAAATTTGGTTGTATTAGACCTATGACTTTTTATTAGGTTAATAAAAATCTTGAATATACTATGAAAATAATATAATCTATTTGATGGTTATACTTTTTTAGTCACAATTAATCTAAAATGACTAAGTTAGAATAAGATCTAATAATATTAAATATTAGTAAGATATTATAATCATTTTTTGTTATATCTACACAAATAATTTCATAAATAATGGTTTTTTAAAAAAATAAACAACCATCTATGACTTTTACATGTATAGGTTTAATTTTCTTTACTAAGAATATATTATATCTTTTAATAAAGTCTTTATTTAAAAAAAAAGCTAAAGTTCTTAAATCTAATAAGATAAAGGCTTTGTGATTTTTAAGTTTTAAATAAATATTTAATATAAAATAAGTTGAAGGTTTTGAAGAGAGGATATGATCTTCATTAGATATTCTATAAGATTTAAGTTGCATGCTCTTTATTGTAGCTAAAGAATTTTGTTTTTCTAAGATATTGTCTTTATTTAATATTCTACTTTTCAATTTATGGTTGCATTGCTTCTTTGGATAATATTGATTAATATGCTTAGATTTTGTACAATATAAGTACAATCTATCTTAACAACATTAAATCTTTTCTTACTTGGTGAAAGGTTTAAAGTATGTTGCATCAATTTGCATAGGTTCAAATCTAGATGAGTAAGTTTTTAGAAACTTAAGAGTTATTTCCATGACATGATTTGTTCTTTTCTATCTACATCTTTGTTTTTGGTGCCTTTTAAAGAGTCAATTATTACATGCAATAGCTTAAGCAATAAATCATTTTAATAAATTATCTTTTAATATTGTTAATGATAAATCTTTAATATTATACTTTAGTTTATATTAAAATTGATCAAAAAGGGCTTTATTGTTTCAATGCACATTGTAAGGAAGGCTTTGGAATTTAGCAATAAAGGTGGTAGTTGATTGTGATTCGTATTGTAAAGATAATTTTTTTTTTTGTAAGTATTTTTTAATTATTTTTTCCAAATATAGTTATAAATAATTTTAAGAATAAATTTGGATTATGTAAGAGTTATGAATCATTTTCTATCAAAGATAAAAATTAAAAAAAAAATACTTCTAAATATGAATGCACTTATAAATCCAACTTGAATAAATTCATTAAGATATTAAAAAAGATGTAACTTTAAATAGAACATGATTTATTATAAAAGTATTTAAAATTTTGATCTTGTCCCACTAAACTTCTTTGGCATATTAATCTTTGTTTCTTTCATACTTGTAGCAACAAAACTATTTGGATTTATTTATAAGATTGTTTTTCTTACTTCTCTCAACATCATAACTTTTTGGTACAGATATTGAACTTTATTCTTGATTTCTTTCATATGTACAAGAATAATATTTCTATAATTGATATTAGCATACAAATTTTTTTCTCTAAAAGTGTTGACAAGCTTGTAAAGATTTGCAATAGTTGCAAATATATTTTTAATTCTATTAAATATAACATCCATATATTTTTTTCCTTCCTTCTTTATAATAGTCAATCTTAATAAATTCATAAGTCAATTTAGAAGAGAGTAATCCACAACCTCTAATATCAAATAAAAAATTCTACAAAGAATATTAATCTATTTTATTAAAAGAAAGAATAATATTAAAAAAATAAAAAATATATTAATTTAAAAGTAGATAGCTTGAATTTTTAAAATACAACAATAAGAAGTAAGATAATTCATTCATTTCTAAAATAAGAATAAAAAATTAGTAGTCTTATTAAACTATGAAGGATATGAATCATAACAAAACTATACAAAAAAAATATACTTGTATGATATTCAAAAAGAAAGGGTAGATAAATAAAAAAATAAATATAAGATAGACACTAAAATGACTATTGCCAAATACAAGGAGACCTGAAATTCTTGAGCTTAGAAAGGCATTGATAAGAGTGAGGAAGGTCTATCTTTTGCCTCCATATGTATACTATCTAATTAATGAGTTATATGGCAATGCTCAATAAGTCATTTAACATGTGTCTAACTTATGAAATATATGTCTAACTAGCAAGGCAAGTTTCTAACATGTGTAATGCATGGCCAACTTGTACAATAAGTAACCAAAATGTGTAATATGTGGCCAACTTGTTGGCCAAGATTTTAACCTATTAATTACCTATAAATATTTAAAAATTCAAATCCATGTCTATAAAGCTTTCAAAAAGCTATTATATTAGATATTATCAAATTTATTTACTTCTACTTATTTCTACCTAACTCTTCTTATCTTTACTAGTGTTGGTGTTTCTATGACAAGAACAAAGAATAAATATATAAATAAGATCAAACAACTTATAATTGGCATTATTAGCTATTAAAAATATATTAATATTAGATTAATTCAATATAATAATTATTTTTTAAGATTTAAAATTAAAAAATATAAATCATAAAAAAAATTAATTCTAATTATATTATTATGAAATTATCTAAGATTTAATAGAATTGTCTATGTGAAACTATTATTATTAAAAAAAATATGTATGAAACTCTATTCTAAAGTAATTTTTAATTCAAAAAAATTCAAATTTATATTTAATTTATTTAAATATTTTTAGTATATTTTTTTATAAATTATATAATAAATATTTTTCTAATAAAAAATGAATTTTATTTATAAATTAAAATTAAAATTAGATGGTATATTTGAACAAAAATAAAATAAGAGTAATTACTTGATATTAAAAATAATATTTAGAAATTGACTACATCAATTTTTTTATATTAGTAATTAAATAAAGAACCATCAATATACTAATTGCATTAAAAGCCAATAGGAGTAAAAGTTACATCATATAGATATTAACAATATATTTTTTTAATGTAAATTTTAAAATAGTATCTATATCAAATAATCTTTGGATCTATAAAAATTGGCTTCAAATACATTATAAGTAAATTTTAAAAAATATTGCAAGATCTAAAGCAAGTTCCAAAATTTTAATATGACAAGATTAATTTATTCTTAGGAATACTTGATTTTATTATGGATAAAGATAATTAAAATTAGTATATGTTAAATAGACTATCTTGTTTATTTATTTATTTATTTTTCTATATATTGACTACTTAGTGTTTATAAGAAAATATCTTTTTCAAGTCTAGTGGCTCAAAAGAAAGGTCATTAATTATTTTGAAATGTTCAAATTACCTATAAGAACCATCACATTTTATTCTAAATATAAGATTTTAAAATACTAATAAAAATCATCTTATTTTGATGTATAAATATATTACAAATAATTAATTATTTTGAGATGCTTAATTTTATCTTTGTCAATACTCTAATAGAAGATAATTAAAAGATTATATTAGATGTGGAAGTTCCATTTGTTAATGCCACAAGATATCAAAGTATGGTAGTAAAGCCAATCAACTTTACTCAAATTAGTCTCAACATCTCTTTGGCAATAAAAATTGTATCCAGATTTATTTTTTAAATCATAAGAACTACACTTTTAAGCTATTAAGTATATTGTTTGTTACATTTTCTATAACTATAACTTAAGTATTTTCTATAAGAGTCTTTCTAATATATAAATAATTGACTTTGTTGAAATTCACTTACAAGAAGATAAAAGAAAAGTAATCTTATCAATCGCAAATTATCTATGGTTTTTTATATTTAATTTTAATCAAAAAAATCTTTTTAAAGTATATTTTGTTCTTATTATAAAAAATTAGTGAACTAACAAAGTTTCTTGACAATACACTCTTCAAAAAAAATTAGCTCTATTTAAATGTAATTTTGTGTATTCAAATAGAAAATTTAAAAATCCTAAAAATATTTAGACTACTATGTCTAATCCTTTTTGGAAATCAAATACTTTTATTTACTCTTCTTTGCTACAACCTTATTTTTTTTTATTATTTGCAAAATAGAGATTTATTTATAGCTTTTGGAAGATTTAAAACATCCTAGTAGCTAAATCTTGAGTATTCAATATCAAATGTTGGAAAATAATCTTCTTCATAATAAACTCAAGATTTCTTTCTAAAATTTTTTTGTTAATGCTTCTTATTTCTTGGCATAATAATAAAAAGAAGATTAACTAAGCTTCTTTTATCATCTCACTCATGCCTTATCTTTTGTGACTTTCAAAGACTAACAAATCCATCCTTATTTTTTCATTTTTAGCACAAGATACCTCATACAATACTTAAAGATTTCATCGATTAAAAAATAAAGCACAAATATGCAAAGATAGTCACATGCAAAGTACAAAGTCAGTTGCATAAAAGGAGAAATTATTACCAAATCCCAAAAAGAGAATAAAGAAACAAAATCCCACAACCTCATCAAGACATAAATCTTATAAACTGACATTAAATAAAACTGAGGAAGGAAGGAAAAAAAAAAAAAAAAAAAAAAAAAAAAAACCTTTGTAGCAAAGGAGGGATATAGGAGCAAGTCATCCATCACTACTTACTCATTGATGAATACCACCAAATAAAGTTGACTAGATTCTATAAACCAGAAACAAATTGAGTATGTATTCCTTGCACTCTACCTGAGCAACATAGTAGTAAAGCATGCATGTCATTCTTTTAATCTAGAATGCTGTAATGCATAATTTCACAGCGAGTTCCTCTTCATCCTCGATGGCTGGATGCATATACTTCTAACGGCACGATGCCAAGTCTGCGACTGCAGCTGTGCTGCTGGAGTTATACCAAAACTCATCGCGTTTGAAGCGTGAAGAGCTAGTTTTTTCAATCAAATCTTTGCGTTGCACCCTCATGCGGGCGCAACTCCGCAGCTACAGTTCCCCGTTGTGAGAGTTGGCTTAAGCAGAAGAGGCATGATAGTGCTACACAGTTTGAATCTCTTAGCTGTCACACAATTCCAGTTCCATTTACAAAGTTGATCGCCCAAAATTGACATCTACAAGTAGATCCTGAAAAAAGAGAAAAAGAGAAAAAAAAACAAGAGAGCCCTATTGAGTCTGATGGGCAGGATTTGCGTCCAATATTGAGCCTGACTACTCTGTACATAGCAGCCTCCAGCAAAAGCCATCGAAGTGGGCATCTCCTTCCTACACCCCACTCTTCTATGGTTTCTAACACATCAAAAGTGCCACCACAATACGAGCTAATTCTGCAAATCACTCGCACCTTCTATGAACATAAATCTGCAGCCAATTTTCAAACAGCCAACCCCACAGTGAGAGCTTCTCATCATCAGTATCGACTCCCACAATCACGGTTCTTTCTAATGTGAAACATCAGCTAGCAGTCCACCGAACTTTAAGTTGGAGAATCTCAGGCTGATTCGACGAACCTCAAAATTTTTTCTGGGGCTCAAGACTTATGCCAAGAGTTCCCTCCAAGGCTTTTCCCTCGACAGAAGTCACTTCCACAAAGGCATTCAAAAGCTCGAAGTGGATGATCCTTGTCGTTGAAATCCAACCCATAGTCCTGAGACACGGAGAGGTATTAGCAACCCTACTGCTGGCGGCACACAAACAGCACAAGCTCTAACCCCTACAGAGAACGAAACCCAAAGAGCATTAACACACCCATATGAGCTCTTCATTTGCTGCTACATCTTTGCTGGTGAAAAATGCAAGCTGCACACACATGGAGTGGAGAAACATTATCAGGTTAGCGCACGGACGTTTTGAAAGACTTGTTCTAGTTATCAAGGACTAACGGTTAGTAAATTTTTATCGATTTTCTTTCAACCAGAACTCCGTGGTGTAAAGCATGCAAAGCGCATGACCAGTCCAAGGCTAGACCGTATCTGACTCGACTCATTCTCTTGGGCTCGAATACATATGCTTAGTACAAGTCATGAGGATGTCTTGGAAGCACAAGAAACCCAGAAGTACATGATAGTAGTGATGGTCTGGGCTCTCAATCTCAACAGGAACTTCAAGTAGGTTGGTATCGAAGCATCTGCGCAACCCACACGGAATTTATTTTAAGTCGTAGTGCTTTCACGACCTTACACCATTAAACGTAGCGATGACGACCTTTTCCTGATTTGGGAGGTGATCAGCTGAACGGCATCTGGAAAGGTACTCGCTACTGAAAACAATTTACGAGCAGTTCTTTCCTTCGTGATGGATTTATTAGGACTTATTGGAAACCATTTTGCAAGAAGTTTCTGGCACTCTATTCGGAAATGAAATATGACTTCAACAAACTTTGGAAACTTTTCATATGTGGCTCTCCAAGTGCGTCGGAGGATTCCATTGAAATCTGAAAAGGTGGATACATCACCATATCACCTCCTTTAGCGTGGATGGAGCTTACCCATGGTTGATGAAACGGGCGACATTCCCATAGCAAGTACCATCCAAACAAAGAGCTTCCTCATCCTTGAGGTATCGTTCGGAGCACCAATCCGCGTCCAGATTCAGGGAGAAGTGATGTTTGGCTGATCGGTGGCTCTCGTTGTTGCGAAACCACATCTCTGTGTTGGTCAGTATTTCTCCCACGTACTCGCATACAAACGTGCCAGCCGGTAGATAATCCAATGCTCGCACACCCCAGCCTTTTCCGCCAGTCCAGAAGACCTGACCCATCCCCGATTCAAGCTCGACTGGCATCTTGCAGCACAAAAACACAAAACAGATGCATACGCGACTCACATGAAAGCAAAACCATCTCGCAGCGTGGTGATGACCCACACTTCACCTGCAGTCTCGCGGTGATGCCTCGTTGCACGATCCGGTTCCCGCAAAGCTGTTTGCACCCACATTTCTCCCAACACTCCTTGATGAAGCGTCGTTGAGTGTGGCCTTTGCAAGGCTCGTCGCCCGTTCTCTCGACAGGACAAGTCCCTGGCAGGCAGAACGACAGAAAGCTCAAGTTCCTCTTCCGATCCAGCTCTTGCTTCAGAAAGTGGGGATACAGAAGCCCTTCCACTGTGTACGCGAACTCTCCGTCAGTCAGCCTCGCGCACTCGCAGGGAGTGAGCTTGTCGAGACAGTTGCCCACACAGCCACTGCACCTATCGTCCTCCCCGATCCTCGCCATGGATATACCCACATGCGCACTTTGGAACACCACGCTGCTCTTCGTGTAGAAGAATTCCTCCGGCAAGTCCTCCGCACCGAGAGCGCTAAGCGAGATGGGGACTCTTTCCTTCCCTCGGGAGATATCGTAACGATCGTGGCGATGGTCGGGCTTCCTTGCTGCTGCCCCATTTGGAGGATGCCCATCCAACTCGAGCAAATCTTTACTGATCAACATTCTCTTGCGTCCCTTATCCGACCCACAAACCCCCGAGCCAGAGCTTCCCGAAGATTTCACTCGTTGCTCTTCCGCCACTGCAAGGTGGGATAATTCTACAGGCTTCGCTTTCAAGTTGGACATGGCCGCTGAGCCGTAGTTTTTCTTGGCCCCTCCACCTGCTTTTCGTATAGCTTCATTCTTCATGAAGGTTGGCCGGCGGTTGTGCTGTTTAACCTCTGCTACCTTTGCTTCAGACTTTTCACATGTTTTCGAACAATTTCTAACGTCACGCCCGCCACGGTGAGGTGTATCGCGGCCAATTTCTGAAACAAAACAACTGCTGAAACCATCAGATGGAAACTTGAGGGATTCCAGCTTATGATGCACTCTTTGAGATTTTATGGTGCTGATCACAACTGGAGTGCGTTTATATTGAAAAAAACAATGTGAGAAGCATACCGGTAGAAGACTGCCCACAAGCCCTGCGGGCGCCTTGAGGCAGGCCATTCTTCGCCGAGAGAACATTAGTTGGGTTATCGGCAGCTTTGCTGGAAAAGTTCAATTCCACCTCGACTTTCACCATCGAATTTGTAAGCGTAGCAGTCTCCAGAACCTGGGTTGTCTCGTTCAATGGCACCACATTGTGCTCATCTTTCAGTTCCAAAGATGAGGAATCATACGAACGCACTGGCTCCGCATGTTGAGTCTCAGGGTTTTCCTTCAACCGCACTCGCTCGATTGGTTGGGAGTCTTCCACTCCCGACTGTGTGGGCAGAAGCGCCAGGATTAACGGCTTAGACTCCATCTCTTCGGTCTTAGATTGTTTGAATCTCTCCACTGGAGTTTGAAACGCCGGAAGAGCTAGAAGTAAGTTCGAGGTTGGGACTACCGACTGCAGGGGTTCAGGATTTAAGCATTGTGGTTCGCTTGTCACGGGAATCATCGACCGATACTCCTCGAGATTGTCACGATCCACCATCTTGGTGCTTCTGTGCAGCACTGGTGATTGCGGTTCCAATTTTATCTTTGAAGCATCGAAGCGAAGGATTCGTGAAGAGCGGGGCTTCTCTAACGTGCCCCCTGTTAGACCTGATTTTTTAGGTACCGCATTCGGAGTATTCAGGTTTGCAGTCGGAGTGGGCTGAGCCCTGTCTGCTTTTGTGATCACTTGGAAACAATCCGCCTCGGTCTGGGTCTGCTTGTTCTCAACAATCACTTGACGCACAGATTGTTTGATCAATCGTCGCAATCCTCCACTCTGAGGGTCTTGGCACTGCGCATTAAACATCTTCGTCGACTAATCATAATTCAACCTCTCTTTTTTTGCAAATTCCGATTTCCTGGCTCACGAATGTATCACGAAATTTTCAATGCGGAAGAAAGAGAAAAGTAGACAATGCAACAAGTTGAATAGAACTCATGCCAAATTTGCTGGAAATTTTGCAATCTCCGTGGCGTTCCGCATTACCGGTACTCTAGATGTTGAAGCCTCCCGAGCTAGTTTTCCAGGCCCAGAAAACAGGACAATCGAAGCTTTCCGTTTCCCAACTTGATCACTTGTGTCTGATGATCCACGTCTGCATCGGCGGAAGTGTTCGTGAGAGTTTAATGGATCGTCGGCCTCGTGGTCACTGTCGCCGCTTGGGAAATGTGCGGGCTCCAACTTCGAGGACATCACGCGAACCGCCGGGCCCTTCTTCTTCTTCGTCTCCTCCCTCTTTTTCTTGTTCTCCTTGGGAATCGCGTCCTTTCTACCACGCGAGCAGCCTGGATTCTGCTCCTTCTCCTAATCCATGACATCACTAATGGAGCCTTCAAAAATTGTCCTCACAATCCAGTCAAATACTGAAGGAAGAACATCAGACGATCGACACAAAATACCGACACAATCTCACCATAACAACAACAACATCAACAACAATGTAAGCAAAACGCACCACTGCTTCCTGCTGCTGGAAAATCATGTCCGCTAGTAGCCGATACCCGTCAGCCTCAATGTGCTCCCATTTCCCGTCATAAGCCTGCAGCAGTGTATGTTAATTCCACAAAAAGCATGAAATAACAGCAAAAGACACAATCGATCTACACCCAAGCCCGCATTGTCCCCCATTCCCCCTCCTCTGACAACCTTCACCCACCCATCCACGAGCCCCACAAATTGAGATTCTACAAACCTCGATCAGCTTCAACAGGATCGGCATCACGATCGACGAAGGCAACTGCAGCTCCTTCTTCATCGCCTCCACGGCCCTGCTCACACGATATGCTGCTCTCTCCAAATCCTCCTCCTCCTCCAAATCCTCTTCCTTCATAGCTCAACCCAATTACCTCCAAAGTCAGTTTTCTCTTACTCAATAAAACAAGAATTTCGCAACTACGAGGGTCGCTTCACAGATTTGCTAACTGCAGGAGCGGAACTGATTTCTCATTTGACAGCAAAGTTGAAGGATCGAAGAGAAGCAAATCGAGATAGTCCCAAACACAGTGAGTGAGGACTTGGATGGATGATATATTGTAGATGAATGACAAATGGGTGGTGGCGGATGGGTGGGGTCAACGACGGCGTCATGAATGCTGCTCGTTCCACACCCTCTGCTTGTTCCCATCCCCGCTCGCTGCCGTTCCCTATCCCAGATGCTCGCTATGAGTGACTGGGACGGGGACAGGTTCCCAATGCCCATGATTTGATTCTGCCCTGCTGAGTTCTTATTAATTATTTCCACATTTAGTATTTGACATCATTTTCACTCAAGGGAAGGTACGTGATTAACATTTATTTATAAATATAATTATAAGAAAAAATTGAACCAAGCATCATGCTGATTCTTTTTAGTTTATTTTATTTTTTCATTTAGGTTCTATTCATAATTTGAGTTATTATATTTGGTTTTTTCCAACATGTTTTTTTTAGAATTTTATAACTTTTTTCAGAAATGCGGAAGAAGCCTTTGATTAGGCTTAGAAGTAACATCTGAAGAATGTTAATGATGCATAACAGTACACAATGTAATCAAATTTTAAACAATTTATTATTTTTTATATATTAATAATACAAAATAAAATAAACACACATGATGGAGAAAATAAATAAATAAATAAATATCTCTAGATTTATTTTTCCAGTATTGGATCAGATACCAATAAGAACCAACCACATTCATCATGATTATCATATTCTTCATCACGGGTAGGTTAATTTTGTAAAAAAATGGGTCTATTTAACATTCTTCTATTATTAAGACGAAAAGTAAAAATTATCAAAAGCACAATTTATGAAAAAAGAAAATTCATAACTTTATAAAATAGTAAAAAGATAGAAATACAAATTATAACTAGATGAATCCTTTGGTTTTTTTTGTCTATATTGAACTCCTAAATTTTGTGTTTATTCAAAATAATTCCCATAAAAAATTAATAAAAGATTGCTAGTTATGATTTCATTATAATTGGTTTAGAAATATATATATATTTTTAAAATTTTCATTACAATTTCTATAAGATATTGTAACAAAAACACTTGTTTGTAGACTTTATCATAGCAACATATTTACTTACACATTTATTATACAAGTAGGTTGTTAACAATATATTTTGTATACCAACTTTGGATTACAATGAATATTTCATTTTTGAACGAAATTGGAGTAAATTATTATCATTTTTTTTAATACAATAACCATACTGTATAGATACAATTAGGACTACTTTGATTAACAAAATTCATTTTTTTTTCATCAATTGGCTTAAAAAAGAAAATTAGTACCTGTTTGATTTATTTTGACCATTCAAATTCTATAATTATTTTTTCGGAATTTCAGAAGTAAAGTGTTTCTTTTTGAGGAAGTATATTAATCTTGTTTTATCATCAAATAATTCATATCTTGTAAGATACATATAAAACTAAAATATTACTTTACAATTAGATAATAAATTTTTTAAATAATTTTAATTTGATTGTCAATACATATTTTGAAGTCTTCATTTTCTTCTCTTAAGATTATTTCATAAAATAAAAATTCAACACGATCTTAAAACTGATTTATTGTTAAAAAGAAAACTGGTCCATAAAATTTTCTTAAAAATCATTACTATTTTCTTAAAAAAGAAGAAAAAATCATTACTATTTAGAAACTCAATGCTTTTCATATAAAGGTCATAGACAAATGCGTTTATACTTCTAGAGAAATTACTAGGTTTTTTTTAATTTATTTTTTAGTTCACATATACTAAGATTCAATAATCAAATCTCACTTGCACCCTTCTTCTTTATTTATTTATTTATTTTTTGTCTATTTGTATCTGACAGTTGACGTCAACTCTTCAGGTTTATACTTATTCTTACCTGTCTTTGAACTCATTAAAATAAAGAAAAATAAAAATAAAAATGGGATTCAATACTTGTGGTTGATAATCCAACCCACACTGAAACAAAGCTCCTCAAATGCAACTCTACCACCGAAATGTAGGAGCTATAATGTGATCACATAATCAGTGCCAATACAAGATCACACACCAATATGGGATTGCCTAACGCAAAAACGTGAATAAATAAAACAAAGCCAATCAATGAAACAAGGCAAAAGGGTGTTCCCAGAAGGATCTCAACTAAGAACCGCTCAGGGGCGTGTTTCTCAACAGGGTGACGGTGTGAGGGCAATGACAGGAAAAAAAAAAAAAAAAAAAAGAAAAAAAAAGAAGAAGGATTCAAGCAAAAACAGAGCGTCTATATTTCATTAACTAAACCAGCTAAATGGAAAAGTTCAATAAATCAGTTCTGTGGACAAAACACTAGTCTCCTAAGTTCGGGGGTGCTTTTTCTGACAAGACGAGGCGAGCTGTTGGGATCCACTGTGGGACTTATCATCTCCGAGAGTCCGTTTTCTGGTCAATGAGTTCTCTGCCACAAAAAAGCAGAAAAAAAGGGACATGACCAGGATAATTCTGAATTGTGGTGAGGAAGGCTCACGAAGGAATCGGAAAGATAGGAGGATGGTCCGGAGGCATGCTTCCGAACCATGTCTCCGCATTCCCTTGCGGTACATAATCACTTCAGTTTCCGCTCGACGTTATCTTAGTGATATCCATTGCACGCAGTGCCTGCCCATCGGCTCTCGCTCGTGCTCTCCAGTGCGCTCTCCAAGTTTAGGGAGTCCGTAGCAATGGCGTCTGCAGTGGCATCGACGGTTGTGGCCCCAGTTGCCTTGGGTGGAGCCTCGTCCTGTGTGGGTGCCCCCTCTGAATCCTCCTCTGTGAAGGCCTTCTCTGGTCTGAAGTCGGCGACCTTGTTCTCTGGCAAGACCCAGAAGTTGAGCTCCGTCCAGAATGGCAGCCGCGTGCAATGCATGCAGGTATACCAATCTCATCCTGAGCTTGTGTTTATCTTCGGTCTCCACCTCTGATTGTATGCTCAATCGGGGTTATAACTGCACAACAGTGCTGTTTCTAATGTTTGTGGGTGGAAAAGATGAGGGATTGTAATCTAAACTTTCTCTTGATCGGAAAATCGGCACATGTGTAGGTGTGGAACCCGATCGGGCAGCCCAAGTTCGAGACCTTCTCGTACTTGCCCCCTTTGACCGATGACCAGATCGCCAAGCAGGTGGACTACATGATCCAGCAGAACCTGATTCCCTGCATCGAATTCGACACTGTAAGTGCATGCTCTACTTACCCGCCATGTGCAAGGTCTATTCTTTACAATAGATCATCGAGCATGGGCTCTTCCCTAGATTGACTCTGCCATGATAAAAATTATCCCCATGCCCTCAGCACAAACTCGGCAGCTCGTGTTTCGGAGAAGAGTGAGTTAACAACACGGAGAGTCTTGCTAATGTGTGGCGCATTGGTGTGTTGGGTCAGGTTGGATCCGTGAGCCGCACCAACTTCTCCGGCGCGGGTTCCTCGGGTTACTACGATGGGCGCTACTGGACCATGTGGAAGCTGCCCATGTTCGGGTGCACCGACTCTTCGCAGGTGCTGAGGGAGATCCAGGAGTGCAAGTCGCAGTTCCCCAGCTGCTGGGTCCGCGTCTTGGGCTTCGACAGCAAGAAGCAGGTCCAGATCTGCGGGTTCTTGGTCTCCAGGCCCAACTAGATTAATTGGCCGGTGGCCTAGGTAGCACTTGGTTCTTTTCAGTAGCGACAAGGTAGTCGTGTTTATGTCTAACTAGTCGCAATGTTGAGGAGGCTTGTACAGCGACTTGTTTAATCCAAAGAATCCCAGGGGCAACATCTTGACATCACATGCTTCTGCAACCACGAATGCTGTCAGTCAGTCTGTTAGCCACGCGACTTAGGAAGAGTTGGATGTATCGTTCAAGCGATCTGTAGATTGCGGAAACCCGAGTGGCACCAAAGCCTGGGGCTGCTGCTGTAGCAAAGCAGCGATGCCCTATTTCGTCACAACACTCTTCACACAACTCACACGACACAAACTGTGAAGTGAGCTTTGAGTTATCCCTGCACAGAACACTTGCCAAAAGCATTGGTACAGCAGCTCTATGCGTAAACAGTGTGACGATTTATTTACGGTGACTGTCATGACTCGATCGCAGAGGATGGTTGTATACCGCTTCTGGTCAGCACTCCGTAGCAACTCCATATCAGCATCTAGGTCCGTATGGAGCAGCGCATGAGAAGCTCATGAGAAACTGTGTCGCAGCGTGTTCATTGTCTTCACAAATCAACAAATCAGAAGTGCAAGAACTGAAATTGGAGAAAGTATCCAGCGAACCCACGTTTATCCCATTCGCAGAACTCGTACAGTCCAGTGACAAGACCCCCAACAACAAATGCCACAAACAACGTCTATGGTAAACTTCGAAGACCGTGGTCGCTCCAAAGCGGGGACTGACTGCCTGTTCTTCAGGAGGTTGTCTGCTTCGACTTGTCTCCCCGTGGTTTTGTACACAACGGTTATTTCAAAGTTGTAGAGGTGATGAATTTGCAACAGGAGGAGCCAGTTTCTACCTGCATTGTGAATCAATTATCTAGAGTGAGAGTCTTGCTCCCTCCCTCTTCCTGGTATTATTTTCTGTTAAGTAACTCAATGTTGACAAACGGCTCCAATTGGAAGAAGCAGGTCTAAATTTGCGGGTTCTTGGTCTCCTAGCGCATCTAGATTTATTTGCCAGCTCATGAATGGTGGCTTGGGTAGCAGTTGGTTCTTTTTAGTAGCGACTAGATAGTCGTTTTTATATCTAATTAGTCGCAGTGTTTAGGAGGCTTGTGCAGCGAATTGTTTAATCCCAGTGATCCCACGGGCATCATTATGATATCTTCATATACTTCTGCATCCACGAATGTTCTCAGTCAGTTTGTTAGCCACTCTACTTAGGAAGTGGTCGTATCGTTCAAGCGACCGGTAAATTATGGGAGCCAGGAGGTTTCCTCCAACACATAGCAGACAACAGAAGATCCAACAGTTGATTATCTTTTCTTTGCTTCGCTTTCGTCTATCACCTTTCAATTGACCACTGTGCGACGATGTAGAATTACACAAGTTGCACTCGATTTTCCCACTGTTAGGTTTCGATGCAGCTGAAATTCTCTGATTCGTGACTGTACATCTGCATTTGACAGGTCCAAGTTAATTTTCTAAGCTTTAATGACAGTTAGCAATTGATAATTGTTCAATTCCGATGTCTTACATTTTGCACCACTCACGACTTATCTGACACTGTCTGGCTCACATTTCAGTGTCAACTAGACGCATTTCTAGCAACCGTTCAAATTCACTAAGAACACCAACTCTTCACGAAAAAGACACCTCCACAATTTACGCAACCGCCCGCGCAAATTGTGGAGGTGTCTAGCTTGTTGCTTGCCCATGAATAGATCCGCCCGCCCGCGCACCCGCCTGCCCGAGGTGAGGCTAGGTAAACGCCTGAGCGAACCAGCTTAGAGCTGCAGCCTGCGTTTTCTGAATCCTGGCAAACCATCGCGTCGTCGATGTCCAATGGCACTTCGCAAATACCTCGACCCCGATGCCGAGGGTGGAGCCAAAAGTGGCGGTAGAGATCTGCGCGCCTTGATGTGTGCCTGCAACGCTGAAATGGCCGCTGCATTACCACCGCTCACAAGCAGAAGCTAGATGCTCTATTCATGGGGAAGTGTTTGTTGCCCAACTGCATGCATGCACTGCAATGTGCTTTTGTGAACGTGCTGCCAAATGGATTTGAAGGATTGGTGGACATGGTGTTCACCGCAAGAGTAGCGATCCGAGGTGAATGGAGAGCCACTGAGTTTGAGGTTCTGGGATCCTTACTCTCTTGTCCATCCTGCGGTGGTGCCAGTGGGGACAAAACTTCATGCGGCTTTCCATCCACTGCCTGTGTTCTTCGTGAACTTCAGCAACCAAAGCATTTGTGGCCGGAGAGGAACAGGTGTTGAGCTCGTATCATCGTAATATGTTTCATCTTCGATGAGTTTATTTTGTGCAATCATAGATTATATTTTTATGTGCTTGCTCTTGCCCGGGCCCCCAAAATTTAAATTTTATTCCGTGGAGAGCAGAGAACAAGGCGGACTTGGGCGAGACTAAGTAATAAGGGCAAAGGCTAAGGGCACTAAGATGAGGGGTCAAAACATTAATAGAACATATCTTGCTTATCTCGTAGGTGGTTGGGTTTACACTTGAGACTTGCCTACATCTACAAGAATCCTGATCCACTACCACCAACCATCTTGCTGCTAACCTTGGGTCAAAATCTTTATCATTAATATTAATATGAATATTAGCGCAGCTCACTGCATGTTTGCTGCCCATTAAGAATGGGCAAGCAACAAGCTAGACAAAAAGTAGATTGGTATCACGGATGAATAAAATCCATGTGCAAGGATGAAGCAAGGTATGAATTGGGCACCTATCCCTTAAAATTGAGCATTTGTAGATGCTAAAGTGAATAATGTAATCTATTAAACCTTATTATAAAATCAACACATTAACTTGCATTAGTAATAATACCAATATATGATAATTACTAAATGTGCAATTGATATTCTAAATGAAAATAGACTTAATTTCAGTGACAAATTTGTTTCATTTAATATTGATTTTGAAGTTGGAACAAGATTATAGGCACTTTTTGTGCGACTTTGTTTGTTCATTATTAATTTAAATTAACTCAACTTTTCTTTTTATCCATTTTTTCCCATTTAAGCATATTATTGTTTTAAAATAAGTATCTTATGTAAGTATGATTTCTAACACATAATGACTTGGTTTTTAAATAATCATATTAAAGAAAACACCTTATTAACCTGTTTAGATTTTATTATAAAAATTTGAAAATAAATAAAAGTTGTATAAAAGTAATATTTAAATTTTAAGACATATAAAAATTTTAATCAAAAATAATAATAGCATCTAAAAGCTTAAATATACTATATTGTATTTTTTTTGAATTTAACCCACATAATAAGCTAGTAGAAACGTTTTTTAAATTTTTAAAATCAACTAAAGATACAATGAGATTTTTTGAAGTTGTAAAGTATAATATGTAAAATACTAATGAGGTGTACAAAATTTTAATAGACATAGATAAGAAAAATATGTTGTAATTTTCTAAATATTGTTCTTTTGTGATTCTTGTATATTTTAGATATTTAGTACAATTAAAAAAAGTCAAATTTTAAAAAATGAAATAAAAGAATCATTGTAAGATGTGTGTATAGTATATGAAATAAAAATTATAATATACAAATAAAGATAATTAACAAGATTCATAAAAAATATTTTTAGTTTTTAATTTATATATTATTTTAATTATACTTGATTTTTTTTAAAATAATAATTTAATTATAATAGAAAAGACTTTTTTTCATAATATTTTTTAACAATCCATTAATGCCTTTAATATAAAGATTTTTTTATTTTGATAGGATATACAATGCATTATTTTGGATTAAGACTAATTTTTTTTTGGAATTTAATTAGAAGAGCATAGTTCTAATAAAAAGATATTGGATTATATCAAAAAAACTAATATTACATAATTTGTTCCAAAAATTAAGTATGTGCTATCAAAAAGTCAAACTAAATATTTTTCATAAGTAATTTGTGTTGATATGTTATTATTTATTTTAGAATATAAAAATTAAGTTGAAATCCTTATAATGATAATATTTCTTAAGTTATGTGATACAACAATTATGATTTATTTATCAAGTATTATAATGCACCATAATTTGTATAAACGACTAATATAATATGTAATTTCAAATATTTTCAATAATATATTATTATAGATATATATATATTGAAACTAATAGTTACTATGTTAAAAATAATTGAATGGAAGCAATTAAAAGTATATAAATTTGATAATATTATGTAAAAAAGCTTTTTAGGAGCTTCATAGATTTGGATTTGACTTTATAAGTATTTGTAGGTAATTAATAGGTTGAAAGCTTGGCCAACAAGTTGGCCATGTAGCACACATATTATAATTTTTTTTTATAAGTTACATATGTCTTCTACAATTTGGACATGTGTTGAGTGACCTATAGGTTATTGCTATGTAATTTCTTAGTTAGATAGTATATATAGAAGTAAGAGTGAGGCCTTTATCACTCTTGTAAATGCCTTTCTTGTTTTTAGCCTTGTTTCAAGTATATCTATACTTCTTGTGTTTAATAGTAGCTATTCTAGTTTCAATATTATAACTAACTTTCATTGAATATTTAGTCTTTTTTAGTGACACAAGAGTGTATTGATTCTTTGATTGATTTTTGATTCATGTCCTTGTCAAATTAACAAGAGTATACTTACAATATCAAAGATTTTTCTTTTCTTGATAAGAAAATGAATTACTTCTTTTTATTGATAATACTTAAGCATATAGAGAAATTTTAAATTATCTACTTTTAATTTTTTTTTTTTTTTAGAATTTTCTTTGCTTTTGTTTTTTTTCTTTTTTTATTTATCACAAGTAATATTTTGTATCTTTATTTCTATTATTTTATTATGAAAATAATCATTAAAATAAAAAATAAAATAATATAAATATAGGAATAAATAAAAAAAGTTAATACTTGCAATACATCTACTTAATTCACTACTACAAGAAACATAAAGATTGGTTGGAAGAAAAGATACAAAAATGATTGAAGTTGTTTTATCATCTATATTAAATCATATTACTTTTTTTTATGATAAAACATTATTTAAACATCACAATATGTATTAGAGAACTAAAAAATGCCTTGTTTTAAAATTTTAATGGTACATGATCAAAGTTTT